CGTTGGACCGCCTGCACGCTCGATGGTTAAAGGCACCGGTGGCCCTGCACTGAACATCATTCAACACTCCACAGCTATTTATAACATGTAGTTCGCTTTGGCGACCGATATTATTCATAGGAGGTTTTTTTTTGGGTTAGATCACGTAAAACATAAATGTGTTGTTAAACCCGCCAGTCGAGAAGCTGCTGGCTGATTAGTAACAAGGTAGACCGTGTTCCGTGTTTACTTAATGCTGGGGGACCTTTATTTTGATGACAGCATTAGCATGGTCACCCCGTGGTTGCGTGCATTTTTCTCCGGCTCCTCCGGTCTTTTCCCCTCCACATTCAGCAACGTGCGTTAAAGAGTATTTGGCTGAAATTTCATTCCGCACGATAAGCCACATCCTTGGGCTATCATTTGTGGCCAGATCGCTTCTGAAACAGTCATGTAGAGCTCAGTGGGCCTCAGCTGTTGGAAATAAAAGGAGGCAGCATTTTCAGGGATAGGCAGTGCCCTTGTTCTGAGCTCAAATATTTGCTCTGCCACCACTGCTTGAACTTGTATGCAAGATCATTATGTTGCAAGGGACCATTTTGAGTAAGGTAAAATATAAGCCCAACTTCGTCTACACTTACAATGTCTGGTGACCCACCAACATCTGTTTAACAAGCCTGACTCTGCTGATGAGGCTCGGAAGGACAAAACCGGTCCAGAGTTTGCTGGCTGAAACAACACGCTGCTGGATAATATTGGTCTGGAAAGCCAATAGACCGATGGGACTGAAACATTATTTTTTATTTATACGTGCGGTGACAGAATGGAGCACCGTTTGCACTGCGATCAGTGTGGGGGTAGGCACGAACGCAAAGTCCTTGGACAGATGATGCAGGAAGGCGGTGTGCACTTGTTGACGAAAAAGGAGCCAAGGATGGCAAACGTGCCAGCCACAAAGCTGCTCGCTGGACCAAAGCGGCTTCGCACAGATGGGACGGATTAATCCCGAGTGGAATCGGTCCACTGGACCCACTGACACTCTCACCAGCTGCCCTGCGCCCGCAGTCACTACAGGCAAGGAAATTGAAACGCCGATGCCAAAAAAACACCACGGGGTGCAATGATGCGGCAATCAACATCCATTCTTTATCTCATGACAAGTGCATCGAATTGCTAAATTATGGGGCTTTTTCCTCCATTCAAATATGTTGTATATACTGCGATGAGTTCGTGCGACCTTTCCTGCTACTCAGCGGCCACTGCATTCACTACAATGTAAAAACGAAATTCTAATTCCTGAATCAAACCCTGCAGCTGAATTGTGACAATCAATGGAAGCTTGGGGAAGGGCAAGCATGATACCCATATATAAATCAAACCCATGAAATAACTACACACACATAAAATACATACAAGTAGATTTAAATAAGTACACCTAAATAAATTAAATATCAAGTGGCTAGTATTAAAAATAGCTCGTAAACTGAACCAAATTAACTAAACAACATCGTACAAAGGTCAGAGAGGTAATGACTATACACTTATTCAACAGTCAGTGGTACTTTGAGCACATTTAAAAAGCAAGGCCTCTTGTAAATGACAGCGACTACATGCTCAAGTGACGTCAGAACCGGTTCTTCTATGATAGGGTAGAGGGGCATTTAACGAAGCTTCACCGAGCCGACAATCACGCAGGCATCCAGCCAATGTTTTATTTTGTAATCCGTGCCATCTCTTGAAAGAGCCAAGAACATCTTCGTTTAACCGTGCGCCGTAATAGCTTTTATTCTGCTTCGCCATGGCATTTTATGTGGAACCCGTGTTTATGTCACGGCATCGGATTTCATGGGAGACGCGATGTGATGCAGAAGAGGCCCCCCCCCCCTATCCCCTCCCCAACAGAAAAAAACTCATGGGACTTTGAAATCCAACTTTATTGTTGGCGGGCCGTACGTTAATGTAATCCTAGCCTGAGCTCAATACGAATGAGCACGTGCTAAGGCTTGAACTGACAATTATACAGCTTGGGAGAGTCCACAAAGTTTAATGGTGATTTATGGAATCCACAACTGCCCCTTGTGGATTATGCCACCCCAATGCGCCCGTTGACACATTGACCCAGAGGGTGGCAAAGTGTTCTCCTTATCTCTGCGCCATCACTTCACCCATCAAACCCCACCGCTCTTTACTGACCAGCTGCCCTCTCCCCCTCCCCTCGACTCACTTGTCATTCACACCGAGCAAAAAGAAAATACAATGGCCATCATTTGTCCAGGAAAAGCCTCGCGCAAGACCCTTTTTTTCAGGAGCATCCTGGATTGAGATGTTTGGCCAACTTTTATGAATCATTGTTTGAATTCACGTGGGAGGAAGCCAGAGTACTGTACAGTACTTCGAGAAAGCCCACACATTTGAGGGTGAACACTCAAAGCTCCACGCAGATTCAGAAATCCGTTGCTGTACAGTGATCACCTGGCCACCTCACGGCCAAAGCTTACCACAAAACTGGCATCACCAGACAGGCTCACGTTCAAGTACCATGCCTGCTTCACTGTCGAAATGTGACAAGATCGGGCACATTTCAGAGCGATTTTTGTTCGATAGTGTACTTTCCGGGACTTTTGACTGCATCGTGAAATGTGTTTTTTTAAGTGCCCACGTTATAGGACCCCCCCCCCCCACTTCTGTGTTGATGTCTCGCAATTACGACCATTGGGAGACGTCTGTTGCCCACAGGGGCAGCGGCGTCGCTGTGGTTGGCACAGCCCTGGTGCCCAAAGCAAATCGAACTGCGTGGGCTCCCGGCCTCCCCCTCTTCGTTGCCCGGCACCTAAGCCCCCTCCCGGCCCATGGGACCCGGTACAGTTGCACCGCCTGCACGCTCGCCAGCTACGTCACTGCCTGGAGGGCCCCGGTAAGGGCACAAGTTGCCTTTTTTCAACCGTGCTACCTGTTTAGCTTGGGGGGCCAATTCCACGAAAGGTCACGGCATTCAAAGGGGTTGAAATGTGCACCGTGACGTCAACTGCCTCTTCCACCAGGCTGGGGGGGGGGAGCTGTAGCATTAAAACACCACAGCAGGAGATTCCGAAACCAGCAGAGTTTAACTTCAACTCGCCGAACCTCAGCGGATGAACACATTCCGGACAACGGTCGTCTCATTGTACCCTCTGCCGTCTAAAATAACGTGGACCAAAAAAGTCTTTGATATGTGGAGTCGGTGGAATGAAACACGGCCGTGTGCACGATAGACGCAGCAAGGCACAGTGGAGGGACCGATTCAATGGTCACAATTGTGCCTCTTTCTGCCTACGCATCACCTTTAGTGCTTCTTATTACGCGTATTACGTTCAACTGCATGCAAACACGGAGGGGTTCGTTCCAGATAACCTACCCGACCGCGTAGCTTGTGGAAGGCTGCGGCAGGGAGTGGGGAGGGAGAGTGCGGGGGGGGGGTGGGGGTGTTTGGGGGGTGCAGGACGGATGGGGCGCGCGGACGAGAAGGGAAGAAAGCCACTGGGTTCGTGAGGACTACGGTTTGCTACCTTTGCTGGCTTTCCCAGACTCATCCTTTTGTCGAGGTAGCTGTGCGGATTAGTCTATTACGTCTTCCCGAGGACCATTCAAAGTCCAGATTTATGTCAGTCGTGTAACAGTGCATCGCTCGAGACGAAGCATTCACATGTAGTTCCCTCTTTCTAGTTTCGTGAGATCTTATTCTTCCCGTCCACTCTCTTTTTGAATCACAGAGGTGGCAATCGCAGTTGGGGAAACCCAAATCGGCTTCGGCCCAGCTAAGGATCGGATCATTTCAGGTCCGGCACAAGCACGCCAACACGAAATATGAGTCATGCACACGTGGGTGTGCAGTTGCTTAACACACACATTTGCGTGGTTGGCTACGTACGGTGCGAAAGAAATACGTAAACGTGAGCTGCGGCACATCAGAACGATTATGACTCTGCTCACACTGCAGTCATGCAGTCAAAACAAAGCATAGCATGCGTGTGTGCGTGTCGCTCCTGCAGTGTTGTCATGGATGGTCCCAGCCACACCTATGTGTGCTTAGATTTTGGATGGATCAGACCGTGGGGGATTGGGGAGCTCATTGTGAGACGTCAACAACAAAAACCAGACACTGCAGGAAATGTTGATTGTGCCTCAGCAGGGAGACAAGGTAGGACCCCCCCCCCCCCAAGCTCACTCTACCGCAGTCCAAGTAAATTCTCCCTCTTTAGATAAACATTCCAAAACAAAATAAGGGAAGTCAAAGTCTTTCCCCAGCGGGATGGGAACATCCGCAGCAAACAGAACGGTTGACGGCATCTCGGAGGATCAATCCGGCAGGTACATTTTCAAAATCAATGTGCGAGAAACAGAACGCTAAACAGTCCTGAGCAGTCGGTAAAGGTGCAGTCCTGCAATATGTTGCTCAACAAGCCACTGTTGGTGGAACAGCCTCCTCTAGTGGTAGGCCTAGAGAGCCTCCTCTGCAAATGGCATTTGGCCTACTCTTCCGTACTTGCCAAACGTCTTGGAGGAGGTGGAATTGCCCACACTTCACCCCACCGTACGCGGCATGCCAAGCGACTAACTTTTCTCGCGTATGAAGAGTTTAAAAAAAAAGGTTTGTCAAGTGTACAGTTACATAAAACAATATCTCCGATCAGCACGGCTGGTTACGTAAGGTGCAAAAGAAGTTCAACGTCCGTACACACACGTACATATCTGAACTGCTCTAGGAACACGGTGACCCAACCATGACAGCCGCACTCCCCACCTCCTTCACAAGTGAGGGATGGTCAAGCATCTATGGTCGACACATTGTGAGGGGAGGCTTCCATCCAGCAGTGAACTGACATTATTATTGTTATTACTGATGGCAACACGATGCGAAGTCATCTGTAACCCATCTATGTTGCGGTGCAGGAGCAAATATGAAAATCCAGACACAAAACTTGCACAGCACAAACAATGCATAAAGATGGCAATGGCATTTTAAGCCAAAAATAGAGCCTTACCTCGTATAATCTCCATTGGCCTCCTGCAGAAGGGGGGAAAAAAGAGAGGAACATTTTAAATGTCACGCTTTTCAAATCGTGGTTTATTATTTTATTTTCTGTTATTTTGCTAAAAACAACACAACGTTGTTTTTGTTTCATTTCTTGCGGTTGGTTTTAAAAATCACATCATTCTCGTGAACGCGGCAAAGAAGGGTTTATTTTTGTTATTCGCTTTAGGAAGCCTGGCATTTAAAAGCTGCATTCTCAGACACGAGCTTCGGTGGGAAATAAGCGTAGGTGGCCGCGTTTTGTTTTAAACCCCACTTAAACGTAGCGCGGTACCTTTTCAAACGTCTGCGGTATACGCGTGGGTCAGATGAAGTCCGGTTGGATTGTCGGGGCTGATAAGAGTGGCCCTCTGTTTATGAACTCCTTCCCTCGACTGTTGAACCAGCACCCCCTTCCCAATCCCGTGCCCAATGCCAAACACCTCATTGCTACTTACCTTGTGTTATTATTTCAATTCCAGTTCTTTTTTACGTGCAAAAAAAAGAATCTACATTTCAAGCTAAATCAAAACTATATTTTCCACACAACTGGTTGCAATACGGATAATTATACTCGGACTTTAATGACCAAATTGCCTATAGGATTGCAGCAGCATTGTGTTTCAACCATTATACCGCAGTATACCGGGATATATTTGTTTTAGGGCGGGGGTCCCTAAAAATCTGAGGATACCGGCTGCAGCCCCTAAAGCCCCAGCGTTCATCTGGCCACGAGTATCCATTGCATGAAGAAAATCTCTTCGCTGCCTCAGGACCCAAGGAATCAATGTTCCACAGCAACCATGTCCGCGGTCATGTGACCACCCCCCCCCCCCCCCCAACTTGGTCCTGGGTATTCCGCGGAGAAAGGCGCCGTTTGTGGGAGGGAGGGAAGGAAGGTGCGTGGGTTTGGAATGAACGCGCAGACACGGCAAGTCCCTGCGGTTGAGCGGCGTGATGATGTCGAGCAACCGGTGCAGAAACAATCGGTCACGCACCTCAAATGGCCATCGCCTGAACCTCGCCGCCGTGCCTACTTATTTCTTAAATCTTGGATGCTAAGCATAGCACCCCCCCCCCCCTACCCCCAGCTGCCTGCAACTAAGAGAAATAATGATAGTACAAAGAGTAAAATAGAAGTTAAGTTGGTTATTGAATTAAGTGAAGTCTTCGGAGCTTGGGATTAGGGGAAGACGGGATGGAGTTCCAAAGCCGGCAACAGAGACCACGGACGAATGTACAGCAGAAAAAAACGGTGCGTTACGTGAACTGAGAGGGGGTTATAGGAATTTGAAAATATAGGAAATGGAAGGGGGGGGGAGTTCCAAATTGAAGCAATGCTAAGGGAGGAAGAAGATACAGTGGCTGAGCAGAGTTTGCCATTGACGAGTGAATTAGATCCCATTTGGCAGCAAATCAAGGTAGAGAAATGAGAGGCATGGGTGCTCGTTTCAGCAATGCTGTTGCGTGCCGTGGGCATGCACGCACACGGGCTGACACCATTTATTCGACAACCTTTTTCATTAAAGTGCACCACCTTGTGTTGTCTAGCTGCTGTGTGCAGCGATTGTTATGCTCCGTGTGCATCTCCGCCGCCGATTTCTGAATCAATGTGGACTAGTGGTTGGAAAAGCTGCCTACAATGTATGGCGCACACATTCTTCACACAAATACGCCTTACAAGTTGGTCGGTTTTTTTCCCTCTCTACACTTTAAAAAAACGTACAATTAAAAACCCACAAGTATGGCCAGCAGCCGAAGTGGACCGTGGCAGACGACGGTATACTGGGGGCTCCTTTTTTGGATACATTTAAGTGAATCAAATTTTCATTCATTTTACAAATGTATTGATTTAATTTATATACATATTTTGAATTACCACATCCTGTGCAAGCTAATGGTGGTAAAGGACATGTTGGCGGAGCTCCAACGCAATTAGAATTCGACTTTGCCACACCTGATAGACCAGAAAACAGGGCTCAATGTAAATCACCGGGACGGAAACCCAAAAGTTACCTTCAAAAAAAGGTCTCCCATGGAAAGGCAGTGGCGTGCAAAAAACAGATTTTACCCCATTCATTCATTTTCAATTTCTCTTCCTTTTCTCGAGGCCTTATTTATTATTTCTTCCTTTCTTTATTTCTTCGAGCAGCTGAGAAAACTGGCTCTTGATGCTGGAGGGGAGCTGTTTGTGGGATGAGCCTGACTTTTCACATCCCACTGGGGGGGGTAACCTGAGACCAGGTTTTTTTGGTGAGAGAGAAGCTGAGATTGCGAGAGTAATTCTAGACAGCTGTACAGGCCCCAGGGCCCCAAGGGTTATCGGGAGGAGAGTTTGTACATGCACTCTAACAAACAAAGGGGGCAAAAGTTATCTTTGAGTGATAGTACAGATATGTGTTTTCATACAACAACAAAAAGCTGTGAGGACGCCCCCGTGACTGTGTGCGCATTAAATACAACAAGCATTAAGAAATTATAGTTTAAAAAAAATGCTTTTATTACGTGTGTTTTATGTGACCAAAGAGATTCAATAGAACTCCAAAAAGCACCTGCCAAACCAGATTTTTCCGCATTGCCAAATTCAGGTGGGTGGCTCTGAGGGTAGCTCGCAGACAACATGATTAATCTATCCATAGACCAAGCAGACCACGATCCAGTTTTTAAAAATACCCTGGAGAATCTGGTTCTGCGCATCAAGCAGATGGGCGTGAAATGTGCTCGGGTCCTTAGGGCGGTATCATTTTCTCTCTCACAGCGATGCTTTACTTTAGCGATGTATGGGTCGGCCACAATCCTCCTGCCCGACACAAAGCCCAAATTTCCATGGCAACCAATGCACTGCATTCACTCTTCTACTTCGAGGGGGGACTTGGGAAGTGGACTACTTTGTTTAGAATCGCTCATAACAAGCGTTAGGATGACCCGGGGATGGAAGTCGTGGGATCCATTTGGTGTTTAAAGTTGATCGAATATGTTAGGATTAAACATTGACTTACGGGTTGTTACTTTTACATTGTTAATCACAAATCCATTTTAGTGTTTGTTCCACCGGCTATCGTGCCGTTGCTCGGGTGAATGTTTATCCTTAAATCAATTGCAGGGGCTCGGTGTGCGCGTGTGTGGAAGTGCGTGCTTCTCGGGGTTGTGTGCGCGCTTACACAAGAGGACCAGCTTCTGTTTGAGTGTGGTGTGAGCACCCCGAGAGCTGTGTGCGAAGCAGTGAAATGACTCGACCCATCAGCGGAAGCACACGATGCACCTAACGGCGGCGGTGCGTATTGTTGACACGATAACAATGCTGTATTCATCGCATGCCCTTAACAAGATGCCAACGGCGGGCGTGATGGCGAACGACTGACTTATTTGTATCAGAAAGAGGAGGAGGTTCGAAAATTTGGACGTCAGTGCATGCAGCAGAGTGACCTCATTATATCCAAGACTGATTCAACCCTCCAAGGACAAAGTGAGGGGATTCTCTCTTCTAAGCTTAGCCCCTCTGCAAGATATCCACAGTATCTATGCATGTTTTATTTATTTATTTCAGTTCCTGCATTTCACCGTGTGAAACCACATGGAGGCTTCAAGTCTCTGTTGGAAGGTTGACCTGCTTTGTCTACAAGTGACAAACATTACAGCTCAATGCAAACCTAATAAAAAAAAAACATGGAGTTGTGTTCTGGTAGCGGGCAACTGAGATCACGTGCATTTCAGTAGCTGTGGGAAATAAAAACATTTAAATTGGGGGCCTGAAGTAGTCTGTGAGGGCCCATTTAAACTACAGAAATGGGCCCATGAAGGCTGTTATATAATTAAGGGGCACAAAATGTGGCTTATTCCCTTCATCTGAACGTTTTGGATTCCTTAGGCCTAGTTTTCTCACATCCAAGAGTTATTTGACCCATATCTCAAATTAAAACTGAACTGCAGGCTATTTCAATATCGTTAATGATAGTCGCCATGCAATGTCAACATGGTTAGAGCAGGTTTTTATTGAAAGAGACTCCTCCAATGTGCATTGGAGGAGTCACTTCTAGGTAGATAAATAATATTACATTTAATTATTTATGCCAGCACGCTATTGTACTACCAGCATGCCCTTTGCACTTATTTTATGTAAACAATAATTTAATATAGCCAGATATTAGTCAACGATTTAATGACTGACATACATGATGAGGTGTCGTCCTCGGAGGGCAAGAGAGCTCAAAAATGTGGAAGTCAAATCAATGCTTGTTACTATAGAAAACACAAAAAGCAGCCAAAGTAAGTTCACCGCTGGATGAAGGCCTTTCTCAGCTGCCGCCATACCTTGTTTTGTCTAGCTGAGGGGTAAATAGAAAATATTTTTATATTACAGAAAAAATTGATTAGGCCTTGGAAACATTTCCATCTGGAGGTTTTCAGGAATGCCAAATCCAAATTTGACATTGGATGTATGAATCTGAAAACTTAAAACTAACAAAATGTGATTTTACACTTGCAAAATACGGGGACAATTTATGGCTTACTTTCTATAGTTTAACATATACATAAAAACTTTATATCCGGAACTTATGGAGATTTAGGAGAATATGACATCAGATATTGAAATCTAAAAACCTAAATCTTAGATTTTTGGTCCCTTAAAACTGGGGACTACATTGATGAACATATTTGTTTTTAAACCTAAACTTCTCAAGGGCTTGAAGGGCACTGAATCCAAATGTAGTATCCTAACTTTTTAACTAATTTATTTTGGTGTTTATTGAAAGCATGGGATACGAAAGCCAATAACAAAGCAGGCAAAGTCGACTACTACTGGTACGCAACACTGCACAGTATTGTACAAAAAACGATATGAGCATCGGGAAATCAGAGTGAATAGAGCTGTGTGGAATCTTCAAAACCTCTTGAGCATGATATAAAAACTCTTGGCCGTTTAAACGTCACACAAATTACGCTTGCACTACAAAAGTGGATGTGTGGAATGGGAGCTGACGTTGGATAATGCATCCAATCTCAAAACAACATTTCATTTCATCCACCCTTCATGCACGACCATAAATATAACACTGCCAGGTTTATGGATAAACATCCACAGACGGATGGCCGCGTAAACATAGCACACATACGCGCGGGCAGGGGGGGGGGTGACAGACTTTGCGCTAAAGACAAGTACAAAGCTTTACGAACGTGCTTGGGAAAATTCGGCGAAATTGCGCATGAGCAAAACCACAAAGGTTGATATGGTTATCGAGTGGTGGCAATCTACCAGAGAGACAGAGGAGGAGGAGGGGGGGGGACACACCACGCACCGTGTGTGTGAGATTAGAAGGAGGAGAAAAGTAAGAGGAACGTGGAAAAGATAAAGCCGGGAGAACCGGAGAAAGACATGATGGGGTCGGGGAGGTAATGCGACACGGGTAAAACAAACTAAAAGGCAGACAAGGAGCTCAGGAGAGCTCCAGCAAGGCGGAGATTTCGCCAAGCCAGCCCATCGTTGTTGTTCCTGCGCAATAGCGACGATAACTTTCCGCCGCAAATGTTGGGCGCTTATGACAAACGCAGCAATGTTTTTCACGCGCGCGCGCGGACGCACGGCGATTTGTGCGCGTGCGTGTGGTGTGTGCGTGCGCGCGGGTCCCGCACGCGCCGTGCGCTTGTGTTTTGTGATTATCTTCAGCTCACCTGCAGAATGTAAGCGGCAAGTTCAAAGGCAGTCTCGCTGTCCACCTCCAGCAGTCCCTGCGGAAAGGGAAATGTGAAAGTTTCCTTTAGTCTTCCTGTCCCGCGTACGAGCGTGCAGCAGCAGCAGCAGGCGAGCAAGCAAGCACACCACTTGGGGTGTTTCACTTCTACAGAGTGAGGAGTGAGAGAGAGAGAGTGCAGAGCGGGAAGAACCCAACCCCGCCTCGCTTCTTTCTCTCCCTCTGCTTTCCCTCCACCCCCACACACTGATCCTTCAAAAGGATGGCTTGAGACTCACTGGAATGTGCCACAACACACTGCAGGGGGTGTGGGCCAGCCTTCGGTGCAGTCGAAAGTTTAAATAGCCGAAATTTTAGCGAACACCTTTCAACAGCTAAAGCGATCCGGCGATTGTTGGTTGTCTCAACAATGTAGCTGCCAGCCTAAATAAGTTTGCATGCTTTTTTAAAAAAAATTAAAAACAACTTTTACAATACTCTTTGTTTTATGGGCTCACACATGGTACATTCCGGCCGTGCTCCTGACTTGCAGAATGAGCCACTGCATTCCTATGCATATAAACCCAACATGCTAGCTCAGCTGTAGGCATATTCATTAATTGAAGCTGGAAATGCATCAAAGTTAAAATTCCATCTCTCTCAACTGGTTGCTGGCCGGGGCTCCATCATTTCCCTCAGTGCTATACTTGGCTGAGGTGCTGGTTAGTTGGCTAGCTGGCTGACTGGCTGTCCAAAAACACCCCTCCAAACAGGCTCTGTATTTACACCAACTTTGCGCAAACACCGATCAGAAACAATGGGCCACTAAATGAAAAAAAACATCGGAAGGGCAATAATGGACACAGCTGAACCTTGCAGTCAACATATCCTTTAATTGTACGGGCTTTGAATGCCTGTATCCTCAGAATAAAAATCTTTTGACATTTTATTAGTAGTTTCCCCCCCCCCCCCCCTGAAAATCAACGATATGTATTTATTTGCCCGTGGCATATGTAGCAAGTGTCGTTTTGTAAATATCTTTCAGATTAAACTGAGTGCTGAGTGAGCTGTTAATTGCCTCGCCTGGTATACAGGAGGTTGTGGGTTCGATCCCGACCCTGATGAATATATATTTGGAGTTTGCTATGTCTCTCTCCCCGGAGTTGTGTGGATTTTTCTCTGGGTCCTCTGGTTTTTCCCTCCACATTTAGAAACATGCGTTTAGAGCATATACATTTTCACGTGATAATCCACTTCGTTGAGCTATAATTTGTGGCTAGGTCGCTTCTGAAAAAAATATATATAGCTCAGGGGGCCTTACCTGGTAAAATAAAAAAGTGTTAGGTTTAGCGTGCTGTGCTATGAATCCGGTGACCCGAGTTCGATATCTGGCCACGCCTGAAATTAATGCAGAATTATATCTGCCGGGCCTACCATATTCCTTCCTTTGCCAACCCGTAATGACCAGTTTGGTTAAGTATGGTAAAAAAAAAGCTTCATCGACATTGGTAGATTGAGAATGGCTGGGATTTATCAAAGTGTTCTATATTATTTGTGTGCTTGTGCTTTGCACCTGACACCCGCACAACGATAAAGTAATCTCCTTTAAAATTGCATGCGTGAATACATTTAATTAGAAACGGAGGATGAATTAGCGTGGCGGGTTTTAGCCACATTGATATATATAGCCATTTCATTGAGACAGCGATATTAATGGCAACAGCAACGAGACCAGGAATTTGACGAGAATCCGAGAGAAGCGGAGAAATAGCTGAACCAAAATAAAAACAGAAGGAAAAACAAACCCAGCGGCCATCCAGGCCCGGCCCAGTTCGACTCCACTTGCATCGTGAGCGACAGACTTTCTCGATATCTGGCTTGATTTTGGTAAATTTTAAACTTGGACGTTCCCACTTAATGCCAAAAATCCTAAATATGCCTTAGCTTGGCATAGCTCTAAAGTAATACATAAACGTAATACGTTTATAAAAGTATTTTTTTTCTCTCTTTTGAAAGTCGAAATTAAGATTATTATTGTTTACGCGTCCACATTCTAGCGTGCATCGTGTGTACTGTGCGTTCCTGAGCAGAGTGCAAGATTACGAGCTGAACAATTCTCTGCAGCAAAAATTATTTTACAGATTGTTTTTTAATCCGTCAGGAAGCGAATAAGCTTAATTTATAAACGAGTGACCTGACCGATGAGATTTAAAGTCTCCGTTTAAAAGGGAAACCTGATTCCTGAAAGCAAAGACGGTACATATGCGGTAAAAATTTGGAAAACAGACATGACACAGTGTCAAAATAATAATTGATAATAAAAAAAAATCCCTTTACGTTTGGCAGAGACAATAAACGTTTAAAAAAACCATAAGCAATATAAAGCTTAAAGCAGAAATCTAACTTTCAATAAGATCGATCCTAATTAATATTAGGCAGGATGTATTGTTGAAAAACACTTACATTCGTATTGTCCATACAAAGAGTCAGACTGTGCGAGCAATTCGATTGCTATGTTTGGGAGGTACACCTATGCTGATGTACGTATGTATGTTGAACTTCTTTCGCACCGTACGTAGCCAACCGCGCTAATCGGAGTTGTGGTGCAAGGACAAACAAACTAAACACAAAAAGCAGTTTTAAAGAAATGAGTTTTCAATCCAAATGATTTAAAAGTGTGTCGCTCCAGTGCCTTCCCTAACATCGGAAGGAAGAGCGTTCCAGACGGCCGCGGAAGCGCATCTGAAAGGGCGCGATGCGGTGCAGCCGCGCGATGCAGCGATACACCTAAGCATACACGCACCTAAACGTACAACATACGAATGTCGTCTCTGGTGCAGTCGGTAACCGTCCCCAGGCGCGACTTGTGCCCGTGTGGAAACGGCAACGGTTGGAGAGGCCTTCATCCAGAAGTGAATTGATAATGATCGATGATGATAATTTTTTTCCCTACAATAAGGCAGCGTTGATGATGAATGTGGCGAGTGGTCTTGTTGGAGTTGCGATCGCAAGGGGGAACACACCAGCCAACTCGGGCCCGTTACATTTTTTTTCTAGGGATGCAGCAAATCTTGAAGTTAGGAAGCCAATCCAAACATAATGTTTTTGTTGATACTGCATTGGCAGTGGTGCAACAGCATGTATAACTAAAGGTCGACGCATGTATCAAGAACACTGCCTTAAAAGGAAATAATTGGAAATAGGCGACGTTTTGGTCAAAGAAGAAGGTGCCTTGCTTGAAACGCTGCCTATGAAATATATTTTTAAATTTCCCCCCTTTTAGAGTGAGCAAAATACAGGTCTATAAACATGACCAACTATAGTAGAGTATTCAGTTGCGACACATTTTTAGACGTTTAGAGTATTCGGCTGCTAGAGATTTCCACATAATAAGCCACTTTGTTGAGCTGTCATTTGTGGCCAGGTCACTTCTGAATCAAGAAGCTATAAAGCTCAATGGGCCTTACTTGGTAAAATATAAAACAAATGTGCTTAGTTTATAGTTCAGTATAATCTCTATGCAGGTGCAAAAAGAACAACAAAAACAACCCAAAAGGGCATTTTAGGTAACGTTCCTCCCAAGTGGCAGCCTAAAGGTGCTAACTCAAACGGACAGACGAGCTTCTATGAGGCCACGAGGTGGGGGGGGGAGAGAGAGGTGGGGGCTCAAGTTTTTGCGCAGGCCTGGGGCCCAGGCCCTGGGGAAAGAGAAACGCAGCTAAGAGTTCCTTTAAAGAACCCGTGCCTTGGAAATAAGTGATACCAGCCGCCAAGGTCTATTTGAGGAAGCACATCACAGAAAGGGGGGGGGGGGATAAAATGGGAAAAAAAAACGAACGCAACCGACGCCCGCTCCCTTTTGAAATGTTGCCACGTTTAGGGGTATTTTATGTCAGGCTAAAAATGTGGAAAGGACTGATGCATCATACGGAGGTTAAATAAGGGTGGTTTTTTTTTTTCCCTGTGAGTGAAGAAGAGTCGATGTTTCAACTGCCTGGCATTGTTCGTGCTGTGTGATATCTAGACTGTAATATGGTGCATCAAACAACCCAGCTGGTATGCCAACTATTCTTCCTATGATGCCCAGTGCTGATGTTGACCATATGCCAACAAGCAATAATTTCAGGCTGAGTCACTCTAGAGTAGGCTCAGACCACGTTTAGATATGAAGTGTTTGTAAGTTGTTCATGATGTAGTAACCACTATGACAGAACTTTCTCTACATATTGTGTTTACATACGTGCATAGATTCGCATTCATAATTAGTCTACGACCAACTCACCCAGAATGTGCCCGATCTCGTTAGATCCTGTAAGCTAATCAGGTTTGAGCCTGGATAGTGCAAGGATGGGTGACCACCATGCAGATAAGCCAGGTATAATAGCGGGAAATGTGGGCAGTCGAGGGCAGTGTAGCAAAATCCATCATTCTACTCTCCCCCTCCCCCTCCACTTTCACCAACCCACACTGGCCCCGTGTGGTGAAGTATGGCGAAATAATTATCATAGCCCACAAGGAATTGGCGGGCCCTCATCCAGTAGTGGATTGACGTGATGGGCTGTACATGCGTCTACATAATTCCTGAACGTAAAATCAAAAGAATCTAACGTTGAGCAACAACAAAAAACTCATACAGGTGGCCATGTGACTTGAGCATCTGCCTTGCGGTTTTGTGAGCATGAGCGTTTTATTATCCCCCCCCCACCGCCGATCCCTGCAACCCCCCGCCACCCTGCCTCACACAGCCCCCCCCCCCACACCCCCCCCCCCCATTGTTGGCGATCCCTGATTTGTGTGAAAGTGCCAGCGTCGCACGTCACGTCGGCAGCAGATGTGGCTCATTAAAAGGGTGCCCAGTTTTTGTCTCGTGCTAGCTGCTGCTGGTGGTGGCTGCTGCGGTGCTTAGCGCTCATCCCCAACAAGGGAGGCTGGCTTAAGCAGCCAGAGACAGGGGCATTCAGACATCAATCCCGTTGATCCGTGGGGCTTTAACTGCCTCAGTTCGGGGTGAGGGGGGGGGTTACCTAATCACTGCATACATACGTTTCGGGACAAAGT